TTCAATTTTGGAATATAATATGTCCTTTTTATATTCAGGTCATGTTGTAAGATTGCATTTTTGCTTTTTGAAGTGAAACAAATGAAGAAAGCAGCTTAAATCTTGATGTAAAGGAAAAGTTTGCTTAATGTCATTTTGTTTATTTATATTTGCATGTGTGCCTACAAGTGCACTTCTGGAAATAGGCAGAACTAAGAAAACTAGGGGGAAAACTAACCGTAATGCTCTCCTGCTGGCTGTTCAGTGTCACCTAGTTTGTGCAGAGCACTCTACAGATTTCATTGCAATAAATAGAATACTTGAGTAGATTTCTTGGTTACTTGATAATTTTGGTCTCAATGATATCCATGGGAATGAGATTCCTAAGTAGGATTTAGCTAAAATCACTGCAGATTTGGCTCTGTTTCTGTGAGTGCCTTTGTGGCTCTTAGCTTTATTCTGCTGTTCATAAATATATATTGACATCATAGAATATGATTCTGAGTCTCAGATGCAACAGTGAGCACCCAAAACTGCTGCTATATTCCCACCAGGAGATATGGCATTCTCAGCAAGCTTAGTTATTGTACATGACAGGTGATCTTTAAGAATATGTTGGTTTTAGCTTGATGAAGCAGAACAATAATTTCAGCTTTATTTGGCTTTTTTCCCCAGTAAGTTACATCAGTGCAAACTACCATACAACTACTGTTTTTCAGAGGTTCTGGAGATCTCTGCCCTTGTGAGATTCTTTTTATTTTTATTTCTTTTAATAGGTACAATTGTCATCAGTGGAAAATAAAAGCGATGGAAACATTGCTATGCTAGATTGTGGAGAATACTTCCAAAGAACGAGGAATTTTCAGTTTACTGAGCATAGTCACGCTTAGGGAATCAGAATGATGTAATCCTCAGAAATCCTGTAGAAAATCAGTGTCCTGAATGAAAGGCATCACTCCCCAACAGGAAGTGTCACCTGGATTTTCAAGCCTTAGTGTGACTGCATTGTCCCAGCATCATTTATTTTGCTTCTTGTGACTGACAAATTTCCTTTGCTGTTGAGACACACATGAGAAGATGATGAAGGAAAAATGGAGAAAAAAGTCTATTTTGTCTAAAGGCAGAAAGAAAGGTAAAGGGAGGAGAAGGCTCATGTAGACACATGTAATGAGCACTACCTGTGTTGAGGATCCTGTTTTCATACCAGGACCTTAAGTAAACTTCTTAAAATAGGAGCTTTTTCTCACCATAATTTGGATAATACATTTAGGCATTAAAAAAACAAACAAACAAACAAACAAAAAAAAAACAAATGTAAAAACCTCACTGCTTCCAGAGTAGTTGTAGGAGCCCTGTGCCTTGGAGGAAGTTTTTCAGAGCATCAAAGCCCCCCTTTTTTTCTGTGGTCCTGCATCCATGGTTCCTCAATACAGGACTGGCTCAGGTAGCATTTGATAGCACCTCTCCAGCCCTTATCCTGCTTGCCTCAGTCAAAGGAGGGAGGAAACTAGAAGAATAAATAACTTACTTCTGCTTAACGACCATGGCAGCTATGGTGACCCAGCAGTAGTTCAGGGATGTGCCTGCAGGGCCGTGAAGAGATGCACTGGCAAGCTCTTGAAGTGGTAATTTGGGTATATATAGTACTGCAGTTGAAAAACCAGAGTCCTCCATGGGAGATAGCTGTGTCAGGTCTCATGAGAACTGTGTTGGATATTGGAGGCTCTTTGAGTTGTTGGAAAAAAAATGGATGATAATACTTCAAGAATTTGCAACCTAGAATACTAGCTTCACCAAATACTGCTGCCCTACCCGGCTGTTCTGGGATCTGTGTTATCAGCACTCATGTCAGCATGCAAATCCTCATCCTGCCTTCACCCACATTTCACTGCCATCCTTCATTTAGGTCTAGATGAGAAATCCCCATTCCATAGATGAAGGGATGCCCAGTTTTTAATGGGATCACTGTCCTCTCACTTTGTCCTTTGGTCCTGCTCCTGGATCCCACCTTTGTGCCATTCCCAGTCTGCCACTGATTCCCAGGAGCAGAGCTCAGCACCTCCCTATGCTTTTCCTTCTCAGGGAGGAGTAAGGTACCTCTCGGCCTCCTCCAGAATGAACAGCCCAGTGCACCCTCAACCCCTCCTCACAAGACCTGACTTCAGCCCTATTACCAGCTCTATTGCTATCCTCTGAATGCTTCCAAGGACATTAACATCCTTTTCATGTTGTGGGGAACATAACTGCACACAATACTCATCAACCCTAAATTTAGCAGGAGCATCACCTCTTTTGACTGGTAGGCTATGCTGTGTTTGATGATTCCCAAAATGCATTTTTCCAAATGCAATATTTTTTGTAATATTCCTACTGTAGACATTTTAGCTACATGGTTGAAATTGATGTGAAGAGAAAAAGGCTGCCAGGTGCAGTCTGGACATAATGCACGAAAATCACAGAGCTGGCTAGATAAGAGAATGTAGAAATGCTTAATTGCAGTTAGAATGATCTCCAGTGCAAGAGTACAAGTGAATCTTTTCACGAGCTTGCCAAATGAAGGAAGCTTTGAAGCCACGTTATCAAAACTGGAGATTACTAATCAAGAACTGCAGTTAACAGCTGGGCTTGGTTCAGCATTCATCTTTCAACATTTACTACTCAGCACAGGGACTCCCACAGATGTTGAGATGGATTCACCCCCTTTGGCAACTGACAAGGAAAGGATTCACTCATCTTAGTGTCAGATGGGGTAGAATGGTTTTATTTAGAGTGTCTGATAAGACACTATGTTTTGGTTCTAGGAGAAAACACACCAATGCTTATAGTTCTGCTAAGCAGAGTTGTACAGAGCCCAGGCCATTTGCAGCAAAGGGCCCAAGGTGCTGAACAGGAGCAGAATTAGGACAGCTGACTTAAACTAACCAAGGGGATATGCCATACCATATGGCATCATGCGAATGGAGTTTTGAAGGGGGTGGGAGTTTATCTCTCTTCTGCTCATGGAAGCTAGCTGGGCATTGGCTGGGGGGTGGCAAGCAGTTGCTTGTGCATCACTTATTATATGCATTCATACGTATTTATACACATATGTATATTGTATATTGTCACATTTATTTTCCTGTTCCTTTTTTCTATCTTAGTAGATAGTTTTATCACAACCCATGACTTCTACTTTGTTTATTTTCTTCCCAGTTCTCTCCTTGGTCCCACTCAGAAGGGGGGGGGGGGGCAGAGGGAGTGAGCGAATGACTGGAGCTGGGCCATCTGTTGAATTAAACTGTAACAACTCTCCAGCCAGGTGGTCACAGCTGTGCACCTTTGGTGCAGGAGCTATGAGGCAATATGCCACAGCAAATATTAAGGAGTATTCAGTATACACAGGGCTTCTTGTAAATGAGCATTGAGAACTTCCCATGAGTGGTAAATGCCTCGAAGTCACAGGAGATGTATGACACATTATAACGTCAGGCCTGTCTAAGAAGACAGTTTATCGGGGAGTCCCATTGGCTGCCACAGCAACAGACTATGAAGAACCAGGGGGAAGTGAGATGCAGGGAATGTAAATGATATCTTTATTGCTTGTCAGAATGTCAAACATCTACTTTTTCATGGATTTGGGCACTAGCTACTTGTATTTTTGTTTCCCTATATTTCTTTTTTTTATTGTTTTGGCCTAAGTATTTCAAGAAAAAGGCATTTTCCTCATGATCTAAAGATGACTGGCAGTCTCAGATGTGCTTGAAAGGCACCTGGACTGCCTACTTGTTCATTGTAGGTGAAAAAACTATTTGATTATAATTATTTCTTAAGTTTGTAGAGATAATACTTTTTTTTTTTTTTTTTTTTTTTTTTTTTTTTTTTGGGTATTAAAAAAAAATTAATTTTTTTTTTTATTTTTTTAATTTTTTTATATAATTATTTTTTTTTTTTTTTTTTTTTTTTTTTTAGATTTTAGGCAGTAAAATCTAATTAAATGCATTTTTTTACTTTTGAAGAGTTTTAGATTATGTTCACAAACCTTGGCTATACTGAAGTGTGAGTATGTGAAATGATACACTGGAAAAAGCAATGGGGTGTGCCCTTTTTATACAGTACTTCTTTAAGATGTTTAATACGTACACAATTCCTTCCCTGGAATAATAACATCAATTTCCCTAGTAAAAAAAAATCAATAGAAAAAAAAAAGAATAGAACTGTTGCAAACTTTGATGCTCAGTTGGTTACCTTTTATTTTCTGCTACAATTAGCCAAGATTTCCTATATACATTTTACTAACTTCATCATTAGAAGACTAAGATAAAATTGGATTCTTTGCTCAGAATCAGTAAATTATATGAAGTTGGTTTTTAAGACTATTTGTTTTCATATGCTTATAACTCCCCTACTACACCATTGAAAATCAATAACTATACATATAAATGATCAGGAAAAAAAGATTAGTGTAGTGATATCTTACTTTTTCAAGTTAACACTGAGATGAAAAGAGTGGGATAGGTAATCTCTCCAATTGCAAGTCTGAGAAAACAGGGAGATAGTGGTTGCAGTGTTACAGGGAGTATGTCCTGCACTGATGCTATAGATTAAGAAAGAGCTGCTACGGCCATGCCCTCACACAACATTTCTCCTAAACCCTAGAAGGATGCAGTCCTCACTATTTATTTAGTGACCTCCAGTGAAACCAGTACAGCTAATTCAGTGTTGATAACATTCTTTCTTTTGATAGATGTTTACATGATCTGTTTGGGAAAACTCACTTTCTGCTTGTTTTCAGCCACATCTGTACCAGATTGTATGGAGGCTGAGGGATCTATACTTTTGTTTCAATGTATATTGCAACATTTTTATTGCATTCCACAGGTCCTCCAGTAAACGTTACTTGCAATATTTTTATCAACAGTTTTGGATCAGTCACAGAAACCACAATGGTAAGTGCTATGATGCCATTGGCAAGAGAACAACAATACTTAATATATGTCATGAGCACAACCTGTCAATTTTTCTATTTATTGTTCAACTTGCAGGTCCTCCTGTAAATGTTACCTGCAACATATTTATCAACAGCTTTGGTTCAATAGCAGAAACTACAATGGTGAGTGGGACTGGTCATTGAAGCCATCTTGTGAAGGAGTGGGATGTGATGTAGAATAGAGATGCTCTAGATGTGGGAACGTTTATTAAGTTCTTAAATATACTAATTTCAGCTAAATTAAAATATAAGTTTTATAAAATAACTTTATTTATAAAAACCTGTTGAACTCAACTATCACATCTTAATATATATCTGTAGTTGCCCATAGTCTGTATCGACTGTGATGGCAGTAACTACAGGCATGCCCAAGGCAGTTTTCCCAGATGTTAGCACTGCAAAGGCAGAAAAGTTGCTGGAACTCAGCTGTGGAGCTGCTTGCCAAGGGCTCAGTGTTTGAGTGGTTCTACAATCCTTGCTGAATTATCTGCTGCTGCAGACTGGGCTGACAGAAATACCTGAACCATCTCATTTAACTTAGCTATATCTCTGAATTTAGAAATCACATCGGTAACTCAAGTAAATGCACAATATAGCTATGAGTAGACTTCATTATTTTCAGGGCCAAAATCATACTAGAAAGTGTTGGGACTGTAGATGATGAAAATTTTTATTTTGACTGAATTCAAAGAACACTATCAGCCAAAAATAACTACCAAAGTCAAAAATTCATTTTAATATTTAAGAAGTTAAATAGTTAAAATTCTCAATTGAAATTATTATTTCAATATGAGATAAGATTTTTTAAAATTGCTGAAGTTCAGGATTAAAGAAATAATAAGAAAAAGAACGGTGGTGACAATTGCTGTCCAATTTTCTTTTTTAGTCTGAAATCCAAAAAAGCTAAACTTTCATTTTCTTTAATACTTGCTGAGGAAAAGCAAATCCAAGTGCATGTAAGAGTGGTTACTTACTCAGGCACACATGCACCTGACTAATGAGTTTAATACTAAGAACTTTTTTTTTTTGTGTGGTTCTCATATAATGTGATAAAGATATAGTAATTATCAGGTGCGTGTGTATGTGTGTCAAATCCATTCTCTAAAAGACTTTGCAACAGATCCCAGTTTTACTTTATATTCTTTAAGTTTCCTCTTCCATAAAGTAATCTAAACAGAGAGTTCCCTCCTTCACTGAAATTTTGCAAGAGTTATACACATTGCCTCAGGGCACAATGTTCAGGCCTTCCTCTTTTTTTTTTTTTTTTTTTTTTTTTTTTT